GGAAAAACTATGGAGTGGAGAGTGTGATTTATAGCTTAGCTTGTCTGATTATTACTATGTTAACAGGTTGGTTTGAATTGCTTGTAGTTTTTCCCAATTTGAACTTTTTGGTCAAAAAATACTGGTGTATTTTGTGTGTCTGGTCAAATATAATGTAAAATATAAACTATATTTTAGATGTATCTAATATAAAAATATATAAAAGCTCAACTAAATAGGTCAGCTGTTTCTGAGATTAGGTCAGGAAGGACTGTTTTTCTTCTGTTGAGAAATTAAATCTTATGATTGGTTCACTGAAAAGCCCGTGAACATGATACATGATACTGAGTCGCCCAGAGCTGCTGATTAGTGTGCGTGAATCATGGCAAAAGTAAAGCCAATTAACATACCTCTCGTATGCCAACTGGGCTTAGATGCATCTTTAGTTTATGACCTTAAACATACTGCTACTGGGAATCCTTTTTTTAGTATCTAACCTGTTAATAATTAGGTTCAGACTTAGGAGTACAAGGTGCAAATAAATAATAATAATAATAATAAACAAACAAACAAACAAACCCAAACCCCCCTCCCCAGATAAAGCCCCTCAAACCAACCAACTAAACAAAACCAAGCAAAGCCCCCCCCCCCCACAACAAACCAAACAAACAGTTGGCAGAGCTAATAGATGCATGTTGTTTGTCATGAATCTTTAAAAAAAAAAAAATCAGTTATGCTAACCCTGAAGCTTGAACTTGTTCCAATATTAGGTAAGAGAGAAATACTATCAAATATGCCCTGTTAGGATAGCTGTTCATTTTTATTAGACACTGGAGAGCCTACTCGTGTGTCTTCTCTTGCCGTATCATTTTCTAGCATTTGATAAAGCACAAGCATCAGTTAAAGCTTTTCTCCTAATTATCACATTCACGTTCCTCTCGCTACAGTTTCTCTGATAGCTAGTATTAATTGTTACGGGCAGTACATGGAAGCAGTAAGAATTCCCCAGTTCTCACACAGCTGACATTTTAACCATTTTGTAGGGACTGGCTGAAGGTTGTTAATTAGCTGAAAACTTTTTGAGGGAATTCTTTCATACTCAGTCTTTTAGGCATCACTTGCAGGGTGCTCGGAGAAAGGCAAAGATGACTTAAGAGTGTCCTTTGGACTGATTCTGCGTAGTGCTGTACCATGTCATCTAAGCACGTAATATCAGTCTCACGCCTCCAAATGAGGATTCTCTATCCATCCAGGAAAGGAGGGTGTAAATTGGGTTCAGTGGCTTCTAAGCTGTCATGCTAGAATTCATACTGTAAAGGTACTAAATCTCAGGCATTGTCTGCAAAATAAACTATTTAGCTACCTTTAGTTCTTACCAAGTCGTTTACTCTCTCCACAAGGAGCTGAAGTGAGACCTTCTCTGTTTTTTTTCAAGTGCTAGCTCATCTGCAGAGAAAGCAAAATTCCTGGAAGCTGTCTGCCAAACATTACAGAGGTGCGTGGAGTAAAAGAGTCAGTGAAATGGGACCGTATGAAATACGGGGAAGGAGGAGGCTGAGGCACTTGCAGGGTGTTGGTGGGAGATTTCGATGTCACCAGGGTAATGTCTTTAAGCTTTCCTGTGTGAAATTAAAGTAATCATCTCCTATAATATCCTAATATGACATAATTATGTCTTGTGACAGCTGTTTGTTTAATTCTTCTAGACTCTTTAACTTGAAACAAACCCATAATGTGCTGTGTGGTGGGACAGAAGATCGGGTTGCTTGGAGATGGCCCATGGTTCTGCAGCATTCAGGTGTCCCTAACAAAAACCATCCAGCGGGTGGTTGGAAAAAGAAAAGCCAGGAGCCCAAGAGGCAGATTGCTTGGGGTAAAGGGTTAGAAAACTGGGCTTGATTATTGAGAGACGCTATGGAGCAGTAAACTGGCATTTCAGAAAACCATCTGATGCTCCTGAAAACAGATTTGATCGTTTTCCATCCCTCCATTACTAAAAGGATGGGAAACAGGTTCATCTTCAGGTTTGTAGGCAGTGCCGGGCCAGAATCTGTCTCGCTGTGCTGGACTTTAGGTCGGATGATTCACCTGTGACTGCTCTCTACTTCAGACTTCCCCAGAAGTAAGATGCGTAAACTTTGCACGACTTTCCCTGTGTGAAACTCCATCTGATGCTGGTTGCTTCTACCTGAGCGTTGCTTAGGGTGTTTCAAAGCCTGCTGTAGGGTCCCGTGAGCAAACATGTTGAATTGGGGAAAACTACAAAGCCTCTTTATTGCGTGCAAAGTGAAATGAAAGTAAATTTACTAGCTTTAAGGGAAGGTTTGTACACAGCTATGGGAACACTATGAAGTCAAACCAGCGTAGCCCAGCTTACTACAGAGGAAGCACGTCTTGTGAAAGCTCCTTCCATTGCACTGGATTTCCTCAGCGTGGTACACTGTCTTCTCACAGGCACCGCATTTGGCTCCGCCTCCCCAGTTCGGCATCCTTATATTTGGAGGGTAGCCTAGAAAATCAAATTACAAAAATAAATACAACAGCAAGAGTGAATTATTTTAAAACAAAACAGCTTGATTTTTTTTTTTTTTTTAGTGTTTAGTTTTTCCTTCTCTCCAGTCAACTGCTATTGCAGGGTGGCCCCAAGCCGATATCTGCTGGTGTGAATTACACGATGGTGTTTGTAGATGACCTGGTAGCAGCAAGATGAGACGGTAGCCAAGAGTCCACCCAGCTTCTGTGGCCCTGCTGAGGAGGGAGAGACCGGGGCAGACCTTCCTTGCTATTGGGAACTGTGGCTTGGGGTAACGGGTTTTTGAGGTGCGCCGGTAGCCAGCATATACTGCGTACCTGTGGGGCAGCAGGGATGTGTCCTATCCAGGGGCGAGGGTGCTTCGGGGCCCAGGGGATGTCTAAATTCTCTGTCTTCTGCGACCCCCTTTTGTAAATAAGGATATTCCTTAGCTCAGTATGTTGTGATGGTAAACATCATGAAATGATTGAGGTGTTTCAGTAAAAAGGTGCGAGGATCACTCGAACCTCTTCTGGAGGAGCGGTTCTAGGATTTATTTTCCAACAAAGAGTCTTTTTCTTTTTCAGTCCTGCCCCCTCTTGGATCCCAGCGTAGCCTTTTCCTCTCAGTTTTTGCTTTATGTGTGTTGATCCGGTTTTGCAAGGCAAATTTTAATGGAGGCTAACAAACACTTTGAAGCTTTACTGGAGTTTAAAAGCAAAAGTGTGGGCAGTATTTAGCATTAAATTTGCTACAGAACAGTGCTCTCCCTAGACTCTCTGTGAAGAGACAGCATATAGTACTATTTATACCTCTCCAAAGCAAGTGCTAGTTCATCCAGTGCCACATCAGCTTTCTCAGTGGCACGTATAAAGGCAATTTTCTGGGTCAGTATGATATTATTTTATACAATTCATACCTGGATCATTCCACCTTGAAGTTTAACAAATGTACGATGTTATTTCAGAGGACGCTTTAATAGAAACAAGTTGTTTGTTGCTTTTCTGAATTCCTCATAAAACAGCTGCAAGATCACTGTGCTGCGCAGCTGTTATAAAGCAATAACAGGTAGGTTCCTAAGGTGCTTAAGGCGTGTTTTTCTTTGTCAATACTTTATAAAATCTAAACATCTGAAGAAAAACAAGAGAGTAGTGCTTACAGTTCCAGTTCTTGCTATTCCAGTTACTGTTGAAGTGACTTGCCCAAGGTCACACGGGAGGGCAGCGTCGGAGCCAGGAGCCCAGCTTAGGTCGCCTGATGTCGGGCTCAGTAAGTGCCCTTCCTGACGACTGTGCTATCACACACCTGAAACAACCCCAGCCTGCAGTTTGCCCTTCTGTTTTCTTGCTTGAGTCATCGTTTCTGGAAAGACTGGGACGTCACTTGTCATCTGCACATTGTGTTACTGGCTTGTTCCAAGCTCCTGGCGCAGGACTTCCTTCTCCTTCTTGGAAAACCAGTCACCTTCTTATTATAGTTCTCTCAAAGCCTGCTTGTGCTATTTGTATTTGATTAAATTCACCATGAGATATTGTCAGCTAAGAAAAGGATTTTGGATGCTGAATCAGGACGGCTACCTAAGAATTTTCTTCTGACATTGAGAGACAAGAGGGGAATTTATCACAGCAGTGACACAAAATAGCTGGTATTTTCAGTGGCTTGCATTTTAGGCTAACACTTTACTACGTCTGTACATTGGTCACTAATGTCCTGTGTTTATCGTCATCTTGGTGACTTCTGTACTGTATCTTCTGAATTTCAGAATTAAGTGAACGATTTCGATGTGCCAGCTCTGCAAGCTGAACCTGAAGGGAACTCTTTCTGGTTGCTAACACTACAAGCCATGCAATGGTGTAAAAGACATGTCTGTCCAGCAAAAGGAAGACAGCATAGGAGTCTGTGCATGCGCTGAAGCAACAGCACTGAAGACATAGCCACGTGGGCACATTTTAACCACCAGTGTTTGATAAGGATGCAGATACCAGCATATCCAAACATTGCCGCTTTAGTACGGTGGTTATTAGTATATCCTTAACCCTGTATAATTATATCTTCACTGTTGTGACTGTTACCCGTGGTAGACAGCATACCTGTCATCCTCACACAAGATCCAATCTCTCCTTCTCTTTGTGAGGCTGATTTATGCTCAGCTGAACAACCTCCCCAGCTCAATCAGCCCCATTCTTTGCTGTCATACACCAACGGCACCGTGAATCTCTTTCAGACCCTGTCAGTTCTCTTGGGAGGTTGTTCATGAGCCAAACTGCTCTGACAGTTAGAAAACAGTAATGATGCGAGAAGGAAAGCTCAGCTTGCCTCTAACTGTTTATCTGTTATGTAATGAGTAAGAAGCAAAAATCTGATGTAGGTGAAATAAGAAACAAAAATAACTGCCTGCAAGGAACAGACAATGGATTTGGTCCCTTCTTGCTCAGTGAAGACTTGACTGAATAACACTGTTATAATATATTTTAATTTCTTTCAAATAGGAGATAAAGAAGTAGAGAGAAATATTTCATGTAGGTAAAATCTTATTGTCTCCTTCTGCCATTCAATATTTTCCCCTATTTTTAAAGTACTTTTGTATTGGTGCCTTTTTTTTCCTCTTATAAAAATGGTTCAAGTAATTCTACAAACATTTTAAGAGAAGAAAGAGCAATGGGAGATAAAATCAGTTTGTGATGCTTTCTTGAAAATTAAAATGACACTTTTGTGTTCACAATAGTCCCTTTCAAATCAAGTTTCCCGTCGAATCCCGTTCCAGCTGGAGGAGAGCGGTTTGTACCTCCAGTCTCTGTAAAACTGCTGCTGCTGGTTTGGCTCCTCTCGGAGGCACACAAAGCATCTCAGTCTGCGGCAGTGGGATACTGGCTGGAAACTAGCTCCGCTTACATCATTAGCTGAAGACAAAAAATAATCTCTGAAAACGTCTGATAATGCGTGATAGTGAACCCTGTGCTGCTACAGGCTGTGGTTCGAGCTCTTAAAAGAACCATTGCTCCTGAGGCTAATTATAGTAACGTGACTGGGCACGCAGACACATTTTCCATGTTTTTATGGCATCACCTGATGGGAAGCTGTAGGAGAAAAGTCACAGTAAAAATGTTCCCGTAAGAACACCGGCATAAGAACGGCAGCGTATGCCGCGATGTCTGTGCTGGCTGGCCTGACGGCTGGGTGAGGTACCAAGTCCGTGCTCTTCAGGTCCTCGCTTTGTTCAGCTCCCGAGCGCTGGGCTGCAGTGGCCATCACTGCGGATGCTGCCTGTGCAGCGGTGTTACCAGGAGCAAGTCAATTCCACGGGCTGTATGGCATGTATAGTTTTCTACTCGCCTAAATTATAATGGTGGATAACGCTCCATCCTTACAATGTGCAAGTAGAAATCAGTCTTCTGTTAGTCATAAGAAAAAAATATACCCAAAGTCTGAATTTCACTTAATTTCATTGAGTGCCAGTGTCTAAATCCCCTTGAAGTTCCCCAAACTTTGTTGTCTTAACCTGGTTAACTTGCAGCGACTGCTAACCACGCGGGACTGGTTATATTTTGGTGATTTAGTGGGAAGTAGAATGGAACCATTCTAAATGTATCGAGTATGTGGCAGAGAAAGTTCTGAGCCTTCGTGCTGTGGTGTGTTGGCAGGCACTCACGGTACTGTTAAGCTGGAGGAGTGTCCTTGGACTGGCTCTAATAGTACTCAGCAGCTTGTACCGCTCTGCTTCAAAATGCAGCTACTATATGGAGTAGAATTTATACACATTAGATGTGCAGCCAAGGATACGTGCTTCTTGTTATTTAGAGCTTGTAACACGACTATATAGGCCAGCCTTGGAGCAAGGAAGCCTTTGAAGTGTTTCTGTGCCCTGCACAGGCATGAAAAAATGTGAGCCATCTTCTGTTGAGCTGTTGGTCATGCCATACAACTCTGGGTGTCACGTAACTGTCACGGAGCGTGTCTCGCTCTAATCAGAGTGCTGTTGGTAAGAATATGATCCACAAATATATTTGGATCCATTGATCTAAATGGGAAGTGGATGCAGTACTGGCCCAACGAAGTTGTGTAGAGGAACAACAGGCAGCGCTAGTGCTAGACAGCGCAGTGCAGGTGGAAAATATGTTGAGGGTAATTCTGGTGTTTCCTTGCTAAACATGAGGTTTTCCTTTCCAAATGCTTACATGTTTGGTAGTCTAGAGCTGAAGTCATATCTGAGTGGACTGCAGAAGTCACGTATGGGGAGGGTTATCTCGGGGTGCCACATGTGGTATGGGATGGCTTTATGGGGGGCCAGCAGAGTGGGAGACATCCGACTTCGTGACCACTGGTAGGACGGGTGGTAGCAATGCTGAACCAGGACCGTTGGATAGGATATGCCTTGCATCTCTCTGTTTTAGTCCCAGCTATCCGGTCTAGACTCAGTTAAAAGTATAGTAATACTCATTCCTTACCTAATAAATAGACAGTAATAATATCAAATGAAGTCACTGTGTGTGCCAAGTGTCAAGGCTGCATTTGAGATTCTTTTCCCAGCTGAAGCCTGTGGGAAATGCCAGCGCAGGCAGGACCTCATTCCGGTATCTAATCACGGCTCCGCTGCTGACCTGTCCTGTGACCACCGGTGACTCATTCGACCGTCCTTAGTGCTGCTCACCTCACCACCCGTAGGGTTAACAAGATAGAGCTTCCTCTGTAAAATCAGCAGTAAAATGCTGCTAGAGTTTTTCTCTGCAACTATCACTCACTATGCTATGTTTTACCTTGACATGTCTGCAGGGTAAAACACAGTTCCTGACACTGCAGCTCAAAAAGCCTGAAGGTGTTCCTGCCACGGACTGCATTTGGACAAAAAGCGTTCTCTCTTAGCGGAACAGAATCACAACAGAGAAAATGTTTGCGTTTGAAGAGCGAGCTCATTTAACCAAAGATGCAATACTGTTTTGTGTTTATAATCATATTTCTTATATTCCGATGCGTTCAATGGACTACTGATAAAGGTAA